TATATATATATATATTTGCACTAATTAGACTATATTGGGAGAGTAGTATTCTAAACATGCAATGTGATTCAAATAATTTAATTTTTAAAAATGATTAAAATTAAATACTAGTGCAAATAATTTACGATTTATTATAAAATTTTAAAATTTGTATGAGAAGCCTATCCATTTTTTTATTTTATTTTTAAGGACCAAAATAAATTTTCGTCATATCAATTTTAAAATTGAATAATCACCCACTTTGGTCCTTCAATTTAGAAGACACTATCATATTAGTACTTGAAACTAAGAAATTGTCAAATAAATCCCTGAAAGTGCAAATTGATAATCACATTTGTCCAAAACTCAAAAAAATGAGTCACTAAAGTGATAATATTGATGATATATAGATAAAAATAAATATTGATGATATATATCTGAGAAGTAAAATAACAATAAGTAATTAAATTTAAAGACTTATTTAACATTTTAAAAATTTATTTGATAATTTCTTAATTTCATGAACTTGTATGACAATAACTTCTAAATTCAAAGACCAAAGTGTGCTTTTTGGTAACGAATATGTCATCGATTGACTAGTAAATTTTATATTATTATTAACTATTCATCTCTTTTGAGTTTTACATGTTCACTTGTTGTCTAGTAACAAGAATCATATAACCTAAAAAATTGATTAAATAATATGCAACACCCTCGCATAATACTTGAATTTTACTTGATGATTTACAACTATGAGCAGCTTTCATTGTACAATTTTTCTTTTGCATCTATGCAGAAGACGTCATTCAACTGCTACCGTTTAAACTAATACACAACATTATTTGGAGTCTAGATCTACATGGGGAAATGATAACCAGACTCTTTCTTATTTCTTTTCTTTTCCTTTTATGTAAGGAGAACATTATTATTGTGTAAATATTGTGTACATGCTACTAAATAACCTGGGCTCATGTACCCCAAAAAAAAAAAAATGTACCAAAAAGGTGACTATATTGTGTGAGGTGCATATAGCCAAATAAGGTGCATATACTGTATGAGCGAGAAATCGTGTGGAATCTCGATTTTACAAGTATAAAAATACAGAAATGAAATAGTTAAACGAGATGCAGAGTGAGCAAATGACCGTGTGTTAAGCCCCTGGTTTCACAAGTATGGACAAAATGGAATGATCAAACAAGTGCCTTCACTAGAGCTTTTAACAATCTAAGTTTATTTGCTTTCCAATTTCTTTGATTAGAATTAGCAAAACACAATATATATAGTTTCAGACTGGCACTAACTATATGAAATTGCATTGCTATCAATTGATGCATGTAATGTACAATTCAAAGTTATAGGCAACTCATTACATGATACAAATCGTTAGCTCACTGAATTGTATTGAATCATGCAACTCTAACAACTATGGAAGGATTTACAAACCTACACGTTAGCCACACTGGTCAGGTTGGTGATTTTCCAGCTGAAATTTCAAGTTTTGCCCCACAAGGAAAAGTTCATGTTTAGACTAAGTAGCATTTAAACCTACTTGGACCAAATTCTTAGTCAGGAAGGGATAACAGAAGTGACTTTTATTTTGGGGCAAGAACAGAATGACTTGTACCTCCAGAGTTGCAGCAGATGCACAACGAAAAACTTCATATTAGCTTCAAAGACACAAGAACTTCACTAAATTGTGTACTTTCTCATTCATTATCCTTTCTGCTAGCCACTACACTGCTTGATGAGCTATCCTGAACACTACGGGAAGAAGAGCATCTGCCTAATGAACTCCCTTCTGTACAGCTGTTTTCCCTCCTTGACAACTTGCTGGATTTTCTTTGTCCAGATGATAAATCCTGCAAAACAATTCTTAAATCTGATGTATCTTTTATCACCACTATTGGTTACAGGATTTCCTCAGAAAACAACACTAACCTGATCTGCAGATGATCCAGGAGTCTTCAACTCTAGGTCCGTAGTGACATCATTGGAATCCTCATTTTTTTCAGCCTTGCTCTCCCTGGATGATTTGCTCTTGGACTCTTGTTTTCCTGAAACATTGGACCGACCACCTGGATGAAGTGGAGGGGATACATACTGGGTGGATTGTTGTTCAACAAGGGTATTGGGGGCTATATAAGGAACAAAAGTTGAACAGGGGTTTGAGATGACTGCAGGATGTTGATTAGCAAAGAAGGGGAATGGCTGCATGGGAATTGTACCAGGAGGTACTGCCATTGGCACTGGAAACGGATATGATGGTGGAGCCATCATAACAGAATGATCCATTGCAGCCCATGGAAATATAGTCCTGAGCTGCTGCTGATACTGATTATTCAAGTTCTCAATATCCGATTTAAGAGAAGCCTTCTCTTCCCTGAGATCATTTTTCTCCTGAGTCAACTAAAAATTGAATGAAAATAAAATTATTTCCTTTTATTATTTTATGTCCCAAAAGTATCAAGGCAAATCTTCAAAGCAAGAAGAGAAAATATTACCTCACGAGATTCTTCATTTAGCGTAGCATATTCATCTTTGAGTTTACTAACTTGAGAAGTAAGGTCCTTCAGCAACTGAATTGTATCACCTAGAATGGTTGCTTTGTCATTTTTGGGCCTATCAGGGTCTGCATTTCACAAGCACCACAGGCAGGGAATGATTTAAGAGCATTGTGGTTTATTTGTTTTTAGCATTAAATGACTAACACATGAATATATTCCAAAGAATTGACAGGTATTTTATACAAATCAACAGCTATATGAATATGTAAAACCTCATGTAACATCTGCTACATGCTACATGTAGTTTAAAATTTAAATAATTAAAACTCTAACCAGGTTAGTTCAAAAACTAAGCTAAATGTTATATAAATATAAAAATTCAAATAAAGACTCCCTCTTTCTGAAGCAAAAATTTACAATTGCAGCTATAAAGTACTTTAAGGACAAACAAATACACTAACGAAATTACTACACTCAAAATATTAGATAAGTCATACACATTAATTGCCCTTCGATCTAAAATAAATAGACCTGATCTTTCTGTAATACTTCCAAAACGAATACTGTGAGACTGGGAAAAATAGTTCACAATCCAAATAATAAATCAATCTAAAGCATGAAGTTTAAGCTTTACAACTTATTCCCTCCTGTTTTTGTAATATTTTTCTTACATTTTAGCAGCCATATTTGATGGAGGCCCATGGGCCCAATCACTAGGGCTATGGTAAGGAGGTTGGAGGAGGAATGGGCCAATGATCAAGAAAAGTCCATAGTGCCTTTTAGTTGGGCTGTGCACTAAAGCCCATGTAGATTAGGGTTGGCCCATTGGGCTTGTAATTTTGTTTGTGGGCCTTGTATTTTGGCCAAGTAGTATAGGAAATTTGGGCTTTGTAATTTTTGACCATTTATAGGTTTAGGATTAAGCATGCACATGTGTAACTTCATTTTCATGTAATTTAAGTTACATTTGAAAAACATTTGAACCATGTGACCGGCCAAGTGGAGTGGCGCACATGGCATGACCCAAATGCTTCTCAAATACAAGCTAAATCACATCCAAATGAAGCAAGCACGTGGCCAGATCCAAATTTGAATTTTGAATTCAAATTTGGGCGCCTAAAGGTTAATTTAAACCATACCATGGTTTATCTTAACCTTAGGTTAGTTTAGCTTCTCTAGTACTCTTCCTTAGCCTATAAATCTCCTTTGGCCGTGTAATTTGAATCACTTTGGAATTGAATGAGAATTTTATCTTCATTGAGATCTAAATTCTCTCTAGCCGGAGTCACCAAGGAGAGTCACTTCTCCACCTCGCCTTGAGCTTTCCTCTTTATAGTTCTAGGCACAAGCTTCTTCTACTTGGGAAGCTTGGTTCACCTTGTTCATCATTTCACTCCTTCTTGACCGAATCCAATCATTGAAGATCCTCAAGGAACTACAAGAAAAAGTGTTCGGATTCTCCATGGAGTCTAAGCACACCAAGGCTCCATCAATATTATTCTCTAATTTTCATTTGTTATTAGAGCTTCTTTCCGTGAATTCCCTTGCCAGTTCTACAGAAATATCAATATCTATTAATTTCCAATTGAGAAAGGGAAACTTGATTTACCTAAAACGTTACCCAGTTCTACAAACTGTTCATTAAGTCGATCCCTCCTTAACTTTTCTCGGTCAGCCTTTTGCGACTTTCTTGCAGCTGCACAATCCATTGGTTCAACTTCAGGCCTTTGGCAGTAGATGCATATGTTCAAAAAAGCAGAACAATTTAATCAAAAGTTAGATCATTCATTTCAGCTTTGGAAAATTATAAAACCAAAATTAACAAAAGAATGTAAGTTATATACTTCAAGGGAGTAAGTATTGTCATGTTCAAAAGTCATCAACAAAAAAATTTAATTGCAACACATTTTTCAGATTAAGGTATTTAATTACATAGAATTATAATCAACATTCTCAGTAACTAAGGTGACATTTGTATGATTAAACAAAATCTCATAGAAGAATCATTATTAGAAGCCATCAGAAACTTTTATTTTCTCCATTTATTTTAATATTTTAAGTTGTTCTATTGCTGCTTAAAGGATGAGATGGTCATATGTACATGTCAATATAGTCTATTACTGCATAGAGCCATTAAAATGTTATTAATGAAGAGACAAACCATTTAAATCATTATCAAGCAGTTCAATGACAAACTTGTTTTTATTTTCCTTATTCATATGTAGACTTATAAAATTCTCAACAGGCCAACACATAATATAATTACTCAGAATATCCTTACCATCAAAGCAAGCTCATGTAACTAGTACTGTTTCAAAATGTCTCATAATTTACAACCAATTAACCGCACAATATCCAGTTCAGATTGAACAAATTGACAATTTTAGTACAAAGAGAAATAGCCAGATACTTGTACGGAATCAAAGTAATGTTGGGGCTTGATCTCACATGTTTTGAGAAATAATGCTCAGACTTTTAAAACGAGGGAATGATAAAACTACGGGTGGGCATGATTTGATTTGGTATGATAAACTCAAATCAGCAAGTTTTGAACCAGTTTACATCAGGTTAAAGATCAGTCTTTAGCTTATAAACTGGTTTAAAACCAACATAGAACCAGTTTAACCTATGAAATAGATCAGACCAATTTTTCCATGTAACCAGTTCAAAAATTAATTAACAAAACAAGGAGAGCTGGTTCTTTCTGTAACCCGTTTGATATAGCCAGTGAAGGGCATTTTCTCTTTGTTCTGCAACATTTTTCAGAAGAATATTTATTTCTACATTCATGATCAATCACAACTAACTAAAATTGCAGGTGAAGTTGACTGAGACCAATCAATATGACTATCTTATCTACTCATAATTAAAAACTTTCGGAAGCCAAGACTTCTTTGCTTTGCAAACTTGTACTCTGCAGATGTCAGCAGAAGACCAATATGTAAATCCTTTGAGCTAAACACAGTACAAATGACCGAACAAGATCTATGAAAAAGTTATTTATTTAATGATTTTGTTATTCTTGAGCTAAACACAGTACAAATCAAACCCTAAGCAGTAAACATCAAATGCTATGGCCCCCACACCATGTATCAACATCAGATGAAGCCAAACATATGCTCTAAAAGGAGATTAACCTCTACAATATAAAACAATACCTACACACAAAGCAAGTAGTTTAACAAGTGCAATAATTGATCTAAGGTGGGATAGAGGGTAATTCCTTAATCACTTCACCTCTCTTGTTGGAAATTGATGGGGCATGAGGCAGTATACTTTTATCCTCCTAATACTATCCCTTTGCCCAGACTACTTTTCAAATTCGGAAGAACAATTACATGGTCATATTTTTTTAGAATTTGAGTTAGAAAATAAGGTCTTATAATGTAAGTAATATACTACATCATGCTCAATGATCCAAAGTATCTTAACAACTAGGTAAAGTCTCATTCAGAATCTTTCACAGCAGAGGCCTTCATATACTTAATCATATTCATATCCCAAATTGCTTTCTTCTCATAGTTCCCATTTATTTTGGTTTCCAACACTAACACCCCATGGACTTTGCTCTTAAGAAGTATCTCCCTTCATTTTAAAGTATCCACTACAAAACTTACTGTTATATTATATATATATAT